CTGGCTCCATCCCCGCCTCTTCGACCTGTTTGTTTCCTCTCCACCTATCCTCTCCTCTATCCCTCTTCTATCCGCCTCCCACTCTCTCCCTATTTATTTCAGAACCCCCTTCCCCTCCCCCTTTTCTGATGAAGGGTCTAGGCCCAAAACGTCAGCCTCTCTGCTCCTATGATGCTGCTTGGCCTGCTGTGTTCATCCAGCCCTGCACCTTGTTGTCTCGGATTCTCCAGCATCTGCAGTTCCTACTATCTCTGCTTTTCTTTTCTCTTTTCTTTTTTATTTCTTTTTACTTTTGCTTTTTCTTTTCCCTTTATCTTTAAAGTCTTTTCTTTTACCTTTTCACCTCATTTGCAGTGGCAATGACGTCGGCAGTGGGAGCAGGCCCTACACAGAGAGGTGGACACAGATGGCGCCACAGGCCCATGGAGCAGCGAGGCTGAATGAAAGTTCGAGGAGTAAGTGCCGAGTGGCAGCAACACCAGGGTGAGGCGGACGCAGCTCCACTCCAGCGAGTGAGGAGCAGGTCTCAGGCTTAACCCCCTGGTCTAGACTCACAGGCTGAGCCACGGCCTGGGCAGCTGACAGCAAAGGCACCAAAGGCAGTGTCAATACCTTTCATATGATTTCAGTGAAAATGTGAATGTAAACATTAAATGCTTCTTCACTTTTAAAATTGTATTGTTTAAATATTGTTATGTGCATTTCTCTATATTGGCCCCAGAAGTATCGATTACTGGAATGCAAAGAGAAGATTATTAGCAGTCTTCTGTTAGTGGGTGAAGAAAATGCCGAAATTGAGGATGTGAAAGTTAACTAGACAATGTTTAATGTTAGATTAGACCTGCGGCACTGATTCTCTTTTTAAGCTCACCATGCTACCCACTAACCCAGGCAGTGAGAGTGCAAAGAGACAACCTGTTCCCTAGTCTCTATCATAACCAATCTTTCATCGGTTGTTAGAATCGTTACGTAGACGGAGCATAGGTTTAATCAAACACTGGTTATTTTCTTTATTACAAGTTCCTCTTGCTTTTCAGACTGGATAAAAATCTCCCTTCATTTGTCCTCTTCCAGACAGCCCACAGGAGACCAGGAACTGGATAAATTAGACCCTGCCACTCAATAATGCAGCATTCTGCCAGGAATATACACGTTGTAATACGCATTGCTCCAGTGTCTATGACATGTATTTTGAAGGTGTGACCATTAAATGATATACCTGCATTAAACACAGACTGAGGGGCATCCATTAAGAGGGTGTGAACTTCTGCCAAGGTGCTCCTAGCCTCCTCTATCTCATTCCAGACAAGGAACACATCTTCTCTGACTCCAGCCCCTGAAAAAGTATGAATTACATGAAAGTATGTGAGTTATACCTGTTCATTTGTACCAGAAATTTTAACAATTAGATACTTAAGCTCAACCTTGTAGCTCAGGCAAGATTTACGAAAGTTTGTTAACATGCAAATAGCACTATGTAAGAATCTTAGCTTGATGTTTTTTAAGATATGCTTTAAACTTGAACCTGAAGCTTTGTATTCTACATGGCTCAACTGTAGGGTGTTCTTGCGAATAGCCAACATAGAGTCAGTCACCAAGCACTGTAGGTATTTGAGCAATTAAATAGCTTTCAAACTAACATTATTTTCAAATGAATCTTCTCACTGTGGTCCTCGTTCATTTAAACAAATATTAATGAAGGGTTCATTGCTTCAATAAAATGTATAATGGGTTACAATGTCTGTTTAGACTTGGATCATTTAGTTTAAGCTATGACTATAAGTGAACATTCAGTAACCATTAAAGCATCATACAAAAACATAATACAATGATCAGATCATTTCAATAATGCTGCGGTGCATTAACTATATTATGTAGGTACAGCCATTTTGGGACGAAATTAAAAAGTGAAAAAGCTTGGAATCTAATATGATAAAGTATACTCCTCCGAACAATGCCAAGAAACAATGAACTACAACAACCTCCATGTTCAATTTCTCTTTTTTTTTGTCACAGCCATACCAGGCATATCCTCAGAATGATCCATGAACTAAAGAATCTGTATAAGATCATTTGGAGGCCCTTTTTAATTTTCAGGAGCTCAAATTAAAATAACCAGAAGGACAGTTTTCTCCTTCAATCAAGACAAAAAATTAGGTTATTGCACAACTTTGGCTGAAGGTTATTTAAGTAAAAAGTGACAGAGCTGTTAGCTAAAATCAATACACAAAGATTTCAAGAAAGTAAGGAGATAAGTTACGTATGAAGATAAAAATTAGATTAGATTCCACTATCGTTGCAGGCAGGAGTTTTTAAAGAGTATCTTCCTGAAGTTGAAGGGGTTGAAAACCCATAATCAGATTGAGCAGCTGTGATGGCTTTATTGAACCGAATAGTGGGAGTTGCTCCCATGGGTGAACTAAGCAGAACAGACCCTGAATGAAGGCTCAATTCTTCCACTTTTACAGCCCTGCAGGATGTAGCTCATAGTAGGTAGCCTGGTGCAGTACATCTCTCCTGGATACCCTCGTCCTCGTGTCTGCCTGTTGAGAAGCAGTTTGTTTCAAGCTGTTACTGTCATGACCTCTGCACAAATACTTCCTCCCAACAGATTCTCACACAGTTCAAATATTAAAATCGCTGTGATACCAAAATAATGGTTCCATTTTACGTGTGGGTTAGCTTAGACCTGGGGAAAAAGCATGTCCATTTTCTTTTAGTTGAAGTAATTAACTTTTGAGCTGTTTCAGCCATTTGCTTGGATGGCTCTTGTTCTGTCAGATTTCGGTAAGCCAGGAAAAGTTACTAACAGTTCTGGAAAACTATTTCTGTTTCCTCTTTGAAATGTTTGTTGAATTTCAGAATGTATCATGCCTTCATCTTGTAATAAGTATGGTGTAACCCCAATACCAGTTGAATCAACAATGGTAGTCACCCGACTGCTGGGAGCCACTTTATGAGGTTTACTCTGACCGCTTTAAAGACAGATTCACTTTTCTTTACAAAATGATTAATATATTGCTTTTTATTCTTATCCATTCTTGGGATGTGGGCGTTGCTGTCCACATCAGCATTCATTGCCCATCACTCATAGAGAAGCTGACAGCGAGTTGCCTCCTTGTAACCACAAGTGCTGATAATTTCATCATTTTTAATGAGATATGTGGGCTTCATTGGCAAGGAAAAAAATATATCTCCCATCGCTAACTGCCCTTGAGCTAAGTGGCTTGCTGGGCCATTTCAATGAGCAGTTCAGAGTTAATAATTTCTGGAGTCACAGGTACCCCAGACCAGGTAAGGATGGCAAATTTCCTTCCTGAGAGGATGTCAGCAAACCAGCTGAGTTTTTACAACAATGAAAGTTGTTATGGTCACTGTTACTGAGACAAATATTATGTTCAAGATTAATTAATTTAAATTAATTTACACTCATGCCTCCACACCATGAGCCTGGTCCTCTGGATTGCAAGTCCAGTGACCTCACCACTACGTTACCTGGATAAAGAACTTTAACACAGGGAAAACCTTTCTGCTGTCACTTAAACATTAAACCACTCCAGCAACTTGGGGATTTATGTTTGATTTTTCAAATCAAGGTCAAGAACTCAAACCCCAGATTTTTTTTGGGTCCCAAACCCACACAGTATTCACATCACTTCTCTGCCGTCACCTTCAAAAGTAAATGTGCTGGAGGCAAGCTTGTACAGCCGTTTTCCCAGGAGAGAGGAGCTGCCTGCAGAGCACAAGCTGCTGAGGCAGACAGCAGTGATGATGTGGCCTATTGCTGCCTTGCAGAGAAGAGGAGGCAATGCCTCTGTAGATCAGCAGCTTCAAGGCACATGAAAATCACCAAATGAAAGGTAATTCGCTTGATCTGGTGCAAAATCCTCAAGATCTTAAAACAATTTCAGCACTCAAAAATACACCATTAACCGCTGCCTGCACTGAACCTGATAGCAATGCCTTGATGTGCACCAAACAATTTAGCTTCGATGATTTCCAAACTGAACATCGTTTTCTTGTTCTCCATGCCTATTAGCAGCTGCCATTAACTGAAGGTGAGTTGGTCCTCAACCCATTCTCTCTTTGAAAACTGTCTTGTATTCTGGAAAATGCACAGAAAGTGTCACAATCTGGGAAAATAACTTCCAAATGATGTCTTCCCCAACTACAACTGACAAGTTCCAGCCTCTTATACTTTAAATGCACTTAAGCTAGAAGGAGAGTTTAGGAAGAATGCTTCTTTTATCCAAAATGTTCTTCCAGTCAAGACCATAAAACAATACATGGCACAGAAATGAAGAACAAACAAGTTTGACCTTTAAACACCAACTGCACCTCACCAGCACCGGTCACACATACCACCCCAGACTAAAAATCAGTCACAACTAAGATGCACAGAGAACATTGTCATCAGGGAGATACATCAGGGCCCAATGAATGGAGCACTAGTTTGGGGGCTGCTGTGCTTAGGTTGGGGCCAGGGTTCTAGATGAGGAGCAGGACCAAGGCCGATGATTTCTCTCCCTGCCCTGACTTGCTGTAGTCCCACTACTGTATAGGTCACAACATTGAACAAAAATATTATATTCAGTCCCCAATATAGCCAATTGTACGCTTTCTCTATAATTGACTTAGAATAAAAATACCCATTAACCCTAACCCTATTTCAGGTTTCTTTAATAATAAAGACAAAAATATTTATTTATTATAAAACAAAACCAATTCCATACGGATACAAAATTGGTTAAGACACAATATGTAATATGTAAATATAAATGTTTGGCCTTCTAAAGAACTGAAAACATACACAGAAATACGCACACTCTTTTCAAGAAATAATGGACCTCTCTCTGAGGAGGTTCACTTCAAAAAGAATAACATTTTCAGGTCAAGAGTTCTTATTCTTGAAGGCAGAAAAAAAAATGTTGAGGCATAGAAAGTTCCAAAGACTGTCCATCTAGTGGTTTTGCACGTGTGGTCATGTCACCAAACACTCACAAGTTATCTCTGGAGTCTTGAAAGACACAGATTTCCCAGGAACTACATTACTGAGAAGTTCTGCCAATCACTCTTCCAGAAAAACAATCAGATTTCACCCTGGTCTCTCAGTCAAGGTTTCAGAAAGAGAAGACGTAAACTCAGCAGTTTGATCTCTAGGCAATTTTTTTCCAACTTAAAAAGCCAAATACAAATTCTAAGCCTGCAAAAGCCGATCAAATAGATCAGCTGTGAAGCATGGTCATAAAATAGTTACGTTTTTCCTAAAGTGAGTTCAAGTAACCAAGATCAGCAATTATCTGGAACCATGTGGCCTCCAAGAAGTGTCTCGCTTAAACAAAAGTTCTAATGTGTCTCTTCATCTAACATTTTAAAAAGAAAATCCGGACACCTCCACAGTCCTTCAAGCTCAGAAAAATTATTAATACAAAAAAACATGTTCAAAACACCCCCACCATTGAAAATGAAACACCATTTTCAAATGCACTTCATTACAAAGTGTAACATATATTTCGCTCTTAACATGTAACCTATACAGTTACCTTCTTGGCACTTAAATAGTTCAAAGTTATAATCTTGACAAAGCACCAGTAATTACATCACTCTTACGTGTGGGAAAAATCAATCTTTAAAATATAAGACTGTAACAACAAAATACGTAAGATTGTCAGGCATTTTAGTTTTTGAACTTTTCCACAAAGGCTTAGGATAAAGATCAGTATATACTAGTGTCTTTCTGCAAGTGTGATAAACATCCATTTTAAAATGTTTAGCAATCTCAAGACTTCATATGCTATTACGAAGTATCACTTTCCATGTTGATTTAGTTTTTTAGAAAACTATCCTATCGGCTTTTCTATGCCTGATTAACCTTCTTGTGATAGGCCTACACCTATCTCCAAATCACAACCATCAACTGTTACCTTAAAGGCCTTGGTGAAATTTGGAGCTTGATTGGTTGACTGATCAGAATGTTTTCAACTTCTGAAAAGATACTTGGCATTGCCCTAACCACAATACAGTTGGAGCAGCGATATTTGATATTTGATAAATATGTGATAGAAAGCACACATCCACGAAAAAAATCACATGATTTTCCATTCAGTTTTGGGGGCAGGGAACTTTGCTAATGTTTATATTTTGCTGTACTTGACAGCACTTGCTCTTCAAATTGCCCGACATAGGTTACTTGCACCTTTGCAAATGCACATTTCGCAAGATTTATCACCAAACCAGATCACTGTAATTTCTTAAACAAAGCTTCTAGCTGTTTCAAGTGGTCCTTCATTGTGTCACGATATAGATCAGAACATTATCAAGGTAAGTTACACAATT